TAGTTTCTCAACCTTTATTGTGCCTCATTAGTTTTTAAACTTGTTCACATGGATGATTTCTGATTAGTTTGCTATAATCTTTGTTCTATTTTCACCCCTGCGCTTCCTTGCTCTTATTTGTTGTCCCTAATTCCCATTGTTCACAAATTGAGGACAATGTTGTGTTTAAGTGTGGGGGAGGTCTATATTGTGGATTTTAGCAATTGCTTCTCGTGCATCCATATTTAGGTGATTTTGAGGTGTTTTTGAACTGTTAGATTGGTTTAATTGTGAATATTTTGAGTTTAGTTGCTGAAGAGTTGAAATTGCACAGGAATTTTCGCTTTCTGCTAACCTTCGCCGTGGCCAACTTCTTATTTCGCCGTGGCGAAGCCTTCTCTTTCACGAGTAATAAGTCATTTGGCCATACTTCACCGCGGCAAACTTATGTTTCGTCACGGCGAAGCAGGGCCCTTCTACAGAGTTGGCTCTCTGCGAGCCTTCGCCGCAGCGACCCCCTAGTTTAGCCGCGGCGATCACCTTTCTTAAAAAAAAAAATCAAATAATTAATTCTTTGCAATTTCAACTGATTTTCAGACATTCTTCCTAGCTTAGATTCTTTATACTCCTGCATCCCTTTTAAACTTATTAGAAAAGTTCAAATTGTACTAGTGTTTTTAAAAAAATTTCCATGCTTTTAAATGAGGGATGAACTTAGGCTAGTTATTCTCATGTTTTTGACAGATAGTAAATGAGGTTATGCTTTGAAATTATGACTATGTGGTTGTTAACTCTTGAGATTGACTAATTGAGATTTGAGCCTTGTTGGAAGGATTTTTGGACCTAAAGTTATTAAATTAAGTGAATCTGCTTATTTCATATTTCTCTAGAACTTGTTTTAATTCTTAATCGAAGCTTAGCGAATCAATTTTTGTAAAAATGATAGAGGCATTCGATTTCATACCCGCATTTCCCAAACACAAACCCAATCATTTTACCATTGCAAGTCCCTTTGAGCCTTCATCTTGAGTACATGCATGCAATATTTTTGTAAATATTTTTTTTTTAAAAAAAAGAGAAGTTGCTCCATACGAAAAAAAAAGGTGTATAAAAAAGGGTAAAAAAAAAAAGAAAAAAAGGAAGAGAAAAGAAAGGGATAAAGATATAAAATTAAAAAAAAATTAAGTAGCTTCTCTTCCAATTTTTATTTAGATTAATTTTGTCTTAATAATTTGTATGATTGTACTCATTTTCATTTTCATCCTCATTTCATTCATTCCGACTGACCCCCATTCCAAATTTTGACCCCTAAAAGTCCTCTTGATTTGCAAAGTTGTTTCTCATGGTGGAGAGGTAGAATTATTACAAGCCTATGGTAGGAATTGGATTGAGTAGACTTGGAGTGAAATAACCCTAAAGACAAGTGAGTTAAGAGTGAAACACTTATCTGTGAGATGGATCTTTCTTAATCAATCTCTTAAGTTAACTATCCATTGTGCTCATTTTCTTAGCATATCATTGTTTACTGATGTCAACCCTGTGAGAGTTTCTTTCTAATCTTCTGCTTTCATCTTTAAGCATGGTAGTGCTTCTCTTTGTGCTAGTGTCACTTTGAATTATTCTTGAGCTTTGTCCAGGAGTACAAAGGTCTAAGTGTGGGGGAATTTGATTGAGCTCAAGATATTATTATCTTTTCATCTCATTATCCATGATTTTGTGATACTTTCTGGCCCTTTTTAATGATAATTGTGCTTAATTTAGATTTAGAGTCCTTACTTTAAGTTAGTGTTATTTTGAGGATTAAATTGTCATAATTGGTTGTTAATTGGATTCAATTGATTTCTAGGACAATTGATACTTCAATTTGTTGCTTTCTTATTGTAGGACATTAAAGATTGGGGCCAGAATTGAAGAACTCAAGGCAAAAGAAGCAGGAAAGGACCCTCTGCCTAAGTTCGCCGCGGCAAACGTCTTCCTTCACCGCGACGAAACTCATCTGTTGAAGCAAGGCTCTCTGCCATGTTTCGCCGCGGCGAACCTCTCGAATCAGCAAATCTCAGACCTGACCATTTCGGGAAATTTTGACCTACCCAACCCCAAGAACCGACCCATGCACGCAAGTTTCGGGTTAGAAACCCTATTTTAGGTATGATGAGATCAGACTATCACTATTCAACCTCCACCTACGTATCTTTCATCCTCTTCTCTCATTTTCCACCTCAGAAACCCTAATCCCATTTCCATTCCTTCCATCTGTTGCTGCCATGGCTGAAGAACAATACCTAGTTGGAGTTGATTCAAGAGTTATGACGAGCTAAGCTTCTCAACTCTTGAATATGGTGGAAGAAGCATGAGTTCCAAGAGCTTCAAAGGGGAGTTAGCTTCATCTATAAGTTCTAGTTCTTTATTTCTGAATTTCTAGGTCTAGGATTTGTAAATTTGGGCTGAACTATGTTGATTATGGTTGTAATCAATTCTGGATGATCATTTTGTGTATTGGATCAGTTAATGTTGAATTTGAGCTTCAATATATGTGGTTACATATATGTTTCTATGCAACTCTTTTGATACTCTCTGTCTTGCATGGTAATGTGTGATTGTTGAGTTGATCTGGGCTTGCATTTAACCAAGTGCATTAATTAATCTTAATATACACACCAAGTGAGCTTAATAGGATTTATGAAATAGGTGACATTGATTAAGATTCTAGACTTAAAGAGTTCTTTAAGGTTTTTCATTTAGAAAACTTGGTGATTTCTACTCCCAAAATTATTTTGAACTATGATTGCTTCAAAGCTGTATTCAAGAGATTACATATCATTAATTTCACTTCATTACTACTATCTTAGAAAAATCCAAAAACATAGTAACTTAGATTTGAATTAATTGCATTTAGTTTTGGCATTTCATTAATGGCTAAAAACACCAAAAACCCCCCTTTTTCATTACTCTGCATAGCATTAGTCTAACCTAGACATCTAATTAAGGCTCCCAAAAGAGAACGACCCGAGTTTGCACTACTGCATAGCTTGGATAAATTTTTTGAGCAAGAACCTCTAAGCGAACGATAATTAAGGCTCTCTTTCAACAGCACACACAAGACACAAAGACAAATGAACAAAACACGCAAAAGCAATTTCCTAATCTTCTAAGAAGGAAAAGGGAACTCTGCTAGACAAATCCTAAAACATTGCACTCCTGTACATACTACCCAACTAAAACTGAGCAAACTAAACTGTTTTGAATTAAAAGAAATCGATTGCAAGTGAAGTTGAAAACCATTTCAAAATACAGCAGAGAAATCTAGAATAGAGAAGATTCGGCACATTCTCCACTACCAAACAAGAACCTTGGTTGCGACAAATACTCATAATGGTCCTTGTTCTAGCTTCTGTAAAATAGTTGGTTGCGACAAAACACAGATCTCGCTGTGATGAAATAGAGCAGAAGTTCGTAAAAACCAAGTTTGAAACAGGGCAACTAAGAAATCAAGCAATGCCCAGTAGAAAACTTACAAACCAGTTCAATATATCAGTTAAAAACAACCCAACAACAATCTATAACCCAGAAATACCACTCTATACATCCTACCTAACACAAATCATCAAAATCTTGTTCACAACCCCCTAGAAACTAAGAAAGCAATTTCCTAACTTCTAAGAAGGAAAAGGGAACTCTGCTAGACAAATCCTAAAACATTGCACTCCTGTACATACTACCCAACTACAAAACTGAGCAAACTAAACTGTTTTGAATTAAAAGAAATCGATTGCAAGTGAAGTTGAAAACCATTTCAAAATACAGCAGAGAAATCTAGAATAGAGAAGATTCGGCACATTCTCCACTACCAAACAAGAACCTTGGTTGCGACAAATACTCATAATGGTCCTTGTTCTAGCTTCTGTAAAATAGTTGGTTGCGACAAAACACAGATCTCGCTGTGATGAAATAGAGCAGAAGTTCGTAAAAACCAAGTTTGAAACAGGGCAACTAAGAAATCAAGCAATGCCCAGTAGAAAACTTACAAACCAGTTCAATATATCAGTTAAAAACAACCCAACAACAATCTATAACCCAGAAATACCACTCTATACATCCTACCTAACACAAATCATCAAAATCTTGTTCACAACCCCCTAGAAACTAAGAAAAACAGAAGAAAAGGAAGAATAAGGAGGAAAGGATAAAGGTTACCTTCAACAGCTCAAGAAAAGAATGGGGCAGTCTAGGTCAATGGTGGCAGCTTGGGAGGGAGTGCACGAATGGTGCTTGGGTAGAATGGAATGAATGAGAGCAAGCCGAGAGAAAGGGGAAATTGTTCTGACAAAAATAAACTGTTTCTAGGGAGGGAAACTACACAAATGGGGTTTGGGAAAGAGGAAAAGACTAAAATGTCTAGGGTTTTTGAAAGGCCAAACGAATGTCTAGGGTTTTTAAAAGGGCAACAACAAAAAACACAAATCTAGAATTTCTAGAAATAAAGTGTTTTCGTCGTGACCAAAAATAATTTTAGTTGCGACTAAAAATTGTCCAGAGGCATTCGGGAAGTCAAGAAAGGCATATTTAGTCGCGACAAACCAAGTGTTAGTTGCAGTGAAAAGTTAAGCCAAGAGCAACCTTGAGAAAACCACTAACAACCCCTTTTACCTACAACCACTGAATTCTAAGCCTCTATACCAAACTAGTGACCCAACCCTCAGCAACAAAAAAAGCAAACAAAAACCCTCTAAATTAAACCAAAACCACCCTCAAAACAGCACAGTTCAGCAATTATCAACCAGAAAAGGCACCACATAGGCCAAAACTTATAGTAGAACAGGGGAGGAACAAAACAAAAAACAAAGAAACACACCAGCAAAAGAGCAACAAAAACACAAACCAAACAAACTACAAAAGCAAATAACATCTACACTACTAGAGAATTTCCTCCCTTACACAAATCCAACAATCTATACAACAGTTGATATCACAAGCAATCTTAAAATGATACGGGATAAAGAGAGGAAAGAAACAACCTAAGGTTACGTCTGTGCAGGCTTGCCATAGAAAAGCTTGAGGAGGTGTCCATTGGCTAGATGTGTAGTGCCATCCTTTTCATCTTTGAGCTGAAAAGCTCTATAATCAAGGACCTTTGTTATAGTGTAAGGTCTATCCCATCTTTCTTTAAGCTTCCCGTCCCCAAACTTGAAATGGGCTTTAAATTTAAGGACCTTGTCACAGAGCTTGAAACTCTTCCTCAAGATACCACTGTCGTGGATAGCCTTGCACTTTTCCTTGTACATCTGGGAGTTGTCATAGGCCTTTCGTCCTATTTCTTCTATCTCTTGAAGCTGAAATAGCCTTTCCTTACCAGCTTCGTCCATTTCCTTATTGCATGTCGAGACAGCCCAATAAGCTTTGTGCTCCAGTTCTACTGGTAAGTGGCATGATTTTCCATAGACAAAGTGGTATGGAGACATCCTGATAGGGTTCTTGAATGCTGTTCGATAAGCCCACGGTGCATCATTAAGCTTCAAACTCCAGTCTTTTCTTGAAGGCTTTACCATCTTCTCCAAGATCTACTTAATTTCCTGGTTAGATACCTCTGCCTGTCCATTTGTCTATGGGTGATAGGTAGTAGAGGTTTTATGTGTGACCCTATATTTAACAAGTAGGCTACTGAGAAGCCTGTTGCAAAAGTGGGTTCCTTGATCACACACCAAAGCCCTAGGAATCCCAAATTGACTAAAAATGTTAGACTTTACAAACCCAACTACAGTTTTGGCATCATCTTTTCGGGTGGGAATGGCCTTTATCCATTTAGAAAGATAATCAACTACTAGAAGGATATAATTGAAGCCATTAGAAGGAGGAAAAGGGCTCATAAAGTCAATACCCCAAACATCAAACACTTCATAGAATACCATGGGTTTTTAAGGCATCTCATGCCTCCAACTCACTCCCACACATTTTTAGCATGTCTCACAAGATTTGTAGAACTCATAGCAATCTTTAAATAAGGAAAGCCAGTAAAACCCACTCTCTAAAATTTTCCTAGCTATCCTCTTTGAGCTAAAATGCCTCCCATATGACAAAGTATGGCAAGTAGAGATAATTAGTGACAACTCCTCTTAAGGCACACATCGTCTTATGATCTGGTCCTCGCATAGCCTCCAGAGGAATGGTTCATCCCACATATAGTATTTGGACTCTACTTGGAGCTTCTGCACCTGGTAAGAGGACATAGAAGGTGGGGTTAGTCCAGTCATAAGATAATTCATGATGTGAGCATACCAAGGCTCCTTAAGAGCTATTGAACATAGTATCTCATTAGGAAAAGAATCAAAGATAAGGCCCAAATTATCAACTCCCCTTGTGTCTATGGGCAACTGGCTTAAGTGATCTGCCACATGATTTTCAGCTCCAGCTCAGTCCTTAATCTTAAGATCAAACTCTTGCAAAAGGAGAGCCTAACGAAGCAACTGAGGTTTTGAGTGCGGTTTCTTGAAAAGATACCATACCGCTGCATGGTCAGTAAAGATAACAACCTTGGAATTAATCAAATATAGTCTAAATTTATCTAGAGCAAAAATTACAACAAAAAGCTCTTTGTCAGTGGTTGTGTAATTGACTTGAGCAGCATCCAAGGTCTTTGATGCATAGGCGATGACCCTTGAGAGTTTATCCTCCTTCTGTCCTAACATGGCTCCAACAACAAAGTTAGAGTGATAAGCCTCATTATTTGCATATATTTCTAGCCCTAAACTCATGCTTTTGCCATTTATATTTACATATTTTGGGTATAATTAGCTTTCATTATGCATAAGAGTTGGTGAAGGAAGTTATGAGGTTTTCTTTGTGTTTTTGCATGATTTTAGGTGATTTTATTTGTGTGTACTTTTGATTCCTTGTTTAGTGTGAGTTTCAGGGAGCTTCTTCAATGTTCTGGCCATTCTATCTAAGGTGCCACGGTGGATAGTTGAAGGCACCACGGCAGATTTCTAAAGATACTCTCAGTCATAAGTACCGTGGCAAATGATTAGAGGCGCCACGGCGGACCAAGTTTCACAAGGAGCTCAGGATTACTAATTGAAATGACATCGTATAGGCTAGGCACCGTGACAGATATCACAAGGCGTTGAGGTGGATGACGAAAAACTTTAGATTTAAATACAGAAGTCGTGCGCTTAGATGGGGGAGCCCAGATTCAGTTCTTTACCCCCCCCAGATCACTGATTTTCTTATTCTCTCCACCTTCTCTCAATTCTCTCTCCCATTTTTGTCCAAATCCATCATCTTCCACCAATCATCTATGAATCTTTCATTGATTCTTGCTATTTCTACTACAATTCAGAGCATGAGTGGCTGAATTCCTAAGTTCTCTTAGCAATGAAGCTGACTTGAGTTCATGGAGCTAAACAGGGAGTCTTTTCAGATTAGATTTCCACTTTCTATTCTAAGATTCATTTGCATTAGTTGAACATTTGTGATTAGAATGAAAGTTGAGGATTAGATTTATGTTTCTTGGAATTTAGATCTGATTGAACATTCAGATATGACTTGTGTCCTTTGATTCAGTTGAATAGAGGATTCTCTATTAATTTATAGATCTAATTCGTTTTACTTAGGCTGTTATCTATTATAATTTGAATTTTGAATTGATGATTTGATGATTCACAGTTGTGGTCATCCTTAGAGAATTGCAACTTGCTTCTTAAGTGTTCTTGTCAATTGATTTTCCTTCTCTATAGAGCAAGACAATGAATTTAGTAAGATAGTTGTTATTAATATGTGTTTAGAGAGATTTGAGCAGTAGCTAAATCTATCCATTTGATTGACTCTAAGAGACTCCAAATTATAAGATTGAACAAGGAAGGAAGGGTGAATTGCTAAGGGAACTACCATCTCTTATCTGAATCTTTTTGCATTTTAGAACCTTTACTATTACCTTTCATTTGAATTTGTTTCTTGCTTCAATTTCTCCATTCTGAAACTCAATCTTTTACCTTGGTAATTTGATAATTAAAGTGAATTATTAAGAATTGAATTCCAACTTAAGGCTCCTTAAGAAGAATGACCTAGGTATTACTTCACTTGCTGCATTTTCCTAGTATATAACTTTGATTACTTAGCAACAAGGTTCATCGTAGAGGCATCACAAGAAATCTCAAAATGTAAGTCCCAATTTGGAGCAACTAGGATAGGTGGAGAAATACATTTAGCTTTCAAGGTATCAAAGGCAATTTTACAGATTTCCTTAAATTCAAACTCCACATCCTTTTTTAAAAGATTTGAAAGTGGTAAGGCTATTATACTAAAATCTTTTATAAATCTCCTATAAAACCCTGCATACTCCAGAAAGGATCGAATTTCTTTAAGATTATAGGGTATGGGAGGGAGATAATTTCAATTTTTGCCTTATCCACTTCTATGTCTTTGCAAGAAATCAAATGGCCCAAAACTATGCCCTCATTAACCATGAAGCGGCATTTTTCAAAATTCAAGACTAGCTTCTTTTCAATGCATCTTTGTAAAACCTTTTCTAAACTAGACAAGCAGATAATAAAGGAGTTACCATACACACTAAAGTCATCCATGAATACCTCCATGCAATCTCCCAATAAATCATTAAAGATTGACATCATGCATCTTTGGAATGTTCCTGGGGCATTAAAGTGCGAATGGCATCCTTATAAAAGTGCGAATGGCATCCTTCTATAAGTATGTCCCAAAATCACAAGTGATGTTGTCTTCTCGGGTCCTTCAATGCAATGGGTACCTGAAAATAACCGGAAAAACCATCAAGAAAGCATTAGTGGGATTTACCTGCTAATCTTTCTAACATTTGGTCAACAAAAAGAATGGGGAAGTAGTCTTTGCGTGTAGCATCATTAAGTTTCCTATAGTCAATACAGACACACCATGGATTTTGGACTCTAGTGAGAATGAGTTCATTCTTTTCATTTTTCACTACAGTCATGCCAGTCTTTTTGGGCACTAACTGAACGGGGCTAACCCACTTGCTATCCGAAATGGCATAGATAATTCCAGCACTTAGGAGGTTTGAGATCTCCTTCTTAACTACCTCCTTAATCAAAGGATTAACTCTTCTTTGATTCTGTTTTACTAGTTTTGCTCCTTCCTCTAAAAGGATCCTATAAGTACATACGGTTAGGCAAATACCAGGTATATCGACTAGAGTCCATCCTATGGCTTTCTTATACTTTTTCAAAACATTGAGCAACATGTCCTCCTCTTCTAGGGAAAGGTAGTTAGCAATTACGACCGGGAGTTGCTCATTAGATTCAAAGAAAGCATATTTAAGGTTAGGTGGCAGGGGTTTAAGCTTAAGAGTGGGTGGTTGGATTAGAGAAGGGATTAAATTAGAAATATTAATAGAAGAAAGTGCAAGATTACTCCCCTCTCCCTTCTCGACTGTGGAATGAATCCCAAGGTTGATTGAGTCCGCCATTGATCCCTCCATTTCTCCAACGGCTGAATCAACTAGCTGTTAATCGTTGTTAGTGACGGCCTTGGAACCATATTGGCATCACTTGAACAAGTCAAGGCACTATCAAACATATATTTCAAAGTATAAGAAGAAATGGTGTAAGAATTTGTTTCACAATGTGAAGTAGGAATCTCTATGGCCCTTAAACCAAGACTCCTTCTATGAAGCAGGTGTGAAGGTAGAACAACAATACTTGATGGGCACTCTGAGTTTGCAGCACTGTAAGGGGTTCATTGTCACACCTTCATTTCAAACCCCACTATACATCATTTAGAACCACTTGGAAGCGTTACGCTGTACTTACCAACCAAGATTGAAAAATTTTGATTTCGGTTACTATTCATGTAACCTCTAAAAATCAAGTCAACTTTGAAAAATCATAACTAAATGTAGAAAAATCAAAATGGAGTGGTTTGAAGACTCACGAGAAGCTTATGAAAATTTCTACGTAGGAAAAATAATCATGGATATCATTTCCTCGTAGATCAGTGCTAGCTTCCACAAAAATATGTATTGTTCATTTGGTAAAATCTGGAACTTCCAGATTCTGTGCCTCAAATTTGAAAATTTGTATTTCCTTGTGTACACATCCAATAGAGGCAATCCACCTCTCATTTTAAATCTTGGGATGTGTACTATGAATCTACCAAATTTTGTGGTTTAACTCATTCATTTGATAGGTCAATCTGGAGCTACAAACTCACTGCTTCATAACCTACGTTTTATCCCTTAACCTCTTTTTACTTTAATTCTTTCTCTGTCTTTGGCATACATAAATTGGGTTTACACTTCATGACCTACGTTTTATCCTAGCTGTTGATCTTTGTTTCTTCCCCAAGAAATTTGCCACTTGTGCTGCCTTCTCTCTCCCCTATTAATTAGCATTTTCCTGCCCAAAATATCTTCAAAATTTTAAACCAAGTGGAAGGGAAACAATCAGCCACATATGCAAGCTTATTTCACAAGCTTGCTTAAGATGTTTTGCAAAGTCATGATTAAACCTTATCCAACCAACTTGACCATGTGCACGGGCTTAGGGAGCACAAAATTCTCTGA